CCCCCCCCCCCCCCCCTGTTATCAAAAAACGTACGTTCTCCTTTTCCAAATGGAATGTTGCCCCATTTCTTGTCTTCGTCGTAGTTGGTCGTTGTAGAGCACCAAAAACGATCGTGATTCTTTAATGTCCAAGTATTGTAGTGTTGCCCTTTGTAGACAAATGGGAAGGCACAGTATTCGCCCGAGGTTGTTCTTGAATCATCTATAAAAAATCCTGAAGCAAAAACAAAATAAATAACTGTAATATGGAAACGAACCAGACAAAGACATGAGTAGTATTTTATTTTTCTATACTTTATAGTCTGTTTCAGTTCTACGATTTGTCTTCTATTTCTTCTATTTCTTTACCTTTACAGGTATCATTCTTCCTGTCTTTGTCGTAGTTCGCTGTTGTAGAGCACCAGGGACGTTTGTTACCCTTGGTAATGCAACTTTTGTACTCTTGTCCTTTGTATGTGAAGGGAAACACACAGAAACCTCCTGATTCTGTACTTACACCAGACGAGAAACCTATGAACAGAAAGATGAAATTTAGCACATAATATGGAGAGCCGATGATAAGTTGATGATAAACCGATGATAAACATGTGACGAAGATCCGTTGAGTGACCTACCATAAGTCGATGATCAATCAATAAGCTGTTGATGACCCGATGACGAATAGACAATGAGTCGCGATGATGTGCCGACGACGAGCCGATGATAAGCCGATTACGATAATACAGCTATTAACGGGTGTGTGCAAGTCTGTTCAGATGGGCCTTAAGTCTATAGAAAGCTAAGGGAAGTAAAGATTCTCACCTGCACAATTCGACCACTTCTTGTCTTTATCGTAGTTGACTGTTGTAGAACACCAGGGAAGAAAGTGAACAGCGGTAGTACAGCTGTTGTACACCACACCACGGTAAATGAAAGGAAAGGCGCAACTCTCTCCTCTAGTTGTCTCCACCCCAGACTTTGCGAAACCTTTAAAACAACGGTCAAAAAATACTGTGAGACAAACAGGAATAAGAAGCTAGTAAGAGATTACAGAAGTATACTCTTTAAATTATTGGAAGAAAGCCACAAATGCGCAAAAAGTCTAAGTGCCGGATAGGCCATCATATTTATCGCCTCCCTGCAAGGGTTAGAATGTGATCGCCTAGACGTAAGGATTTAGGGGGAGGGAGGGGGAAGAAGGGATCGTGCACATGTCTTTAGGCAACTAAGGGGGTTCAGCTATACATTGACAGGTATCAAGGGGTAGATCACACAAATATTATTAAGATGAGAGAGTACCCATAACCCACTGTTGAAGAGGGTCATAAAAAAGAATAGTATACCTCTTGGAGAGGGTCAAGTAATCATTGATAATATGTCGCAACAAAAATCATCCGACCCACTAACCCCCTTCCCCCAAGTCTACAAAAAATGACCTGTACATCAGGTCTAGAAATGAATCTGTCACCTGCACAGTTGCCCCACTTCTTATCTGTGTCATAGTTTGCTGTTGTAGAGCACCAAGGACGATTGTGATTCTTGGTAGTACAGCTGTTGTACACAATATCACGGTATGTGAATGGAAAGGTACAGTTCTCTCCTGAGGTCGTCATTTGACCTGAAACTGAATAAATCAACAGAGTGATTTTTTGTTTAAAAAAATAGCTAGAAAAAAGAAATGGAGGCAGACATCAGCTGCCAATGACCTCTGGGTAGATCAAGGTTAGGGCAAGGCGTATCAATACCTGAAACAACCTTTGGTGTGGGGTGCTTTACCATTTACCCGGAAAATCAAGTTGGAAAAACAAATGGTATGTGTCACTGACTCCGATCGGAAAGTTCCGGAACTGACTCGGTCTCTAATTGAGGTAATCCAATTTTCCCGCTCTTTTCCTTTCTTCTGGTAGACGCGTGTACCATTTGTCGGAAGTGTAATCCCTGGTCTAAACCCGGGACCAACTCGCACATCGTATTGGGAGCTATCGTGTTGGCGGGTGTCATGGACTAAAGATAACCCAGAGAAAGCCCAAAGACTTAGTAAATAGGTTAGTTTGTATAACAATATCACTCCGGTACTTACCAAGAGAAGTGACAAGCACACTTTGCAGTAGAGCGAAAAGAACAAAATTCCAATGAGCCATGTTGTCTACGAAGCGTCAGTGGTACCTGTAGAGCAGTTAACTTATTCCTTTAGCTTTCCGCAGCAAAGAACAAATTGAAGCTTAGCCAAATGAAGAGCCGCCTTTTATATACACGATGTTGTTAACCCATGACCTTCATGCCGCTATTGGCTTTGATTCCAGAACGAACCTGTAGATTGAGGGGCAAAGAATCAGTTGGAGCTTCAGATATACAGGAAGACGTAAGGGGGCAGGGGGAGGTAGAGAGATGATAAAAGGGGGGACCCTTCAAATTGTATCGATGCCCTGCATGAATTAAACAACCGCTTTCGGCTCATTTAACTAGCTCAGTGCACAGATATTCACAGAACGAATTGGAATTTAGCTTGTTATAGACTTTGCAGAGGGAGGAAAACTGTAGAATCCGGAGAAAAACCCTTGAAGCTAGAGGGAGACTGGCCAACAAACTCGACTCGTATTTGATACCAGGAATGCAACCCGAGACCCCAGAAATGGTAGGTTTCCTTGCTCGCTGTAACATGTTTTGCCGTGCCTTGTCTGTTTGTCAGTTTACTGTGTAGGTAACGGTGAAAAACATTTTTTGAAAGGCATAAAAACTAGAAGTAAAAAATCGAAACTTGTATAAAGAAACAAGCAACATAAAACAGTCAAAGAAATTAACCACTAAAACAGAAAGAAAGGTTTTTCGTTGTAGAACAAGATGGAACAAGAATAGTCTCATGGAAAACAGCCAGAGGCTTTACTGTGAACCGCTTTATCTTTAATTGGACCTTGGTGGTTTAATGTTACTGGGGATAATCAGTCATGGTCAGGCAAGATTCAGACAAAAGCGTATAAAATAAAGAAAAGGTCGAGTATATTCATTATAGATTTTAAAATTAAGACTATAACGACAGATTGAAATGAAATATTATATTTCGATAACAATTATGCCATCATCATCTTATGCATACTGATGTCTCAGTGTCGGATCCAGGGAAGGGGTGCAGGGGGTGTGCACCCCTGGTTCGATTTTGTGCCCCTACCTCAAAGATTTAACCAATACAAAATACTGTTTTTTCCCTTTGATTCTAAGGGGCGCACCCCTCACTGGGTTAACTATGTGCACTGCACCCCTCCCTGAACAAATTCCTGGATCCGCCCCGCTGTGTCTCACAGGAAACGATGGTATATTTATAACAGCCCACTTATGCAATTAAGCTAAGTCAAGTTAAGAAACATTAGGTATCATCAGAGGTATCATAGTCATATAAGAATAAAGAAAAACAAACCTTAGAAAAGATTTGTGGTGCATGGTTGAATTTCAGAAGAAGGGTGCAAGACAAAGTCTTTATGAACCACACGAAATGCTTGTTTCTAGAATTTGCACATGCATATTTAGAATTTCTCCATTTCTTTCCAAATTGATATTTAAACGTTCATGTTTTAGGGACTACTGGTTTTTAGTTTTTTATATTTTCATTGATTAGCTAATTTAGAAATGTTTCCCCACTCGGTAACCTCAGAATTCAAGATGAGCGATAGACAGACATTTCGTAAAGCGAAAAGAACAAGAAAATTCCAATGATGAGCCATGTTGTCTACGAATCGTCAGTCGGGTAGAGCAAGAAAACTATTCCTTTATGCAGCAAAGAATAAATTGAAGCTTAGCCAAATGAAGAAGCTACTTTTGTATAATGTTGCTTAACCCATGACCTTCATGCAGTTATTGGCTTTGATTCCAGAAGTAACCTGTACTGGACTGATCTAGAGGAGAATTGGAGATTCAGATAAACAGAAAGCGTTAGGGATGGGGGAGGGGAGGGGGGAGGGAGGCAAGGGGGTGTTAATCTATCTAACACAAATGGCTCACTCACTATATACAGACCCCCAACCCTTTCAACCAAAAGCACCAGTTGGTCACGTGGTAATTAAAATAATTCTGAATTTTCAAAACATTCGATCTGCAAAACCCATACTCTCGTACAGCGGACTACTCAGAGACCCATGATGGACTGGATCCGGTCAAGACAATATATGATGATAGTGTTTGGGTTGCCTTTGTAAACTACGTCATATATAGAAGATAATATAGGTAAGTTGTAGTGCTTGGGAACGAGGTTATTCCGGGCGRAAGCCCTTGGAATTAAATTCGGAAAAATTAATTTCGATAATTAATTTTTCCGAATTTAATTCCAAGGGCTTCCGCCCGGAATAACCTCGTTCCCAAGCACTACAACTTACCTATATTATCTTCTACTATTTCATTAGTGCCACGCGGTCCACATACTCTCATCTACGTCATATATATATATATGGCCGACTGATTTACAGACGTTTGCTTAGCGGGACCATCTAGAAGAACTAGCTCGACGATGGGTTATACTTTACTTTAGTAAGCTATTGAACGCAACTGGCAAGATTTTGTCAGACGTTTGTTTGTTTGTATTGCAAACCAACACTGCTATGAATATTTTCGTGAAACCGACTCACGAAAAGAGAGTTGCTTACAGACAGAGCATAGTTAATAGAGGGGAATGGTTAGGAAACCTATTGTTATCAGGTCTTTGTTCGCTTTTGATGTTGAACCGGTCTTGACCGTGCACAATGTTTGATTTATGCTCATCCGAAATTGCAAAATAAGTAAACATAAACTTCGTCTATGGGATTATTGTAAGGAATATTCAAATATCTCTTATAAATCTTYAAGGTATTTTGAACTAGCAGCCAAGAGAAAGATTTTGGTCTGTTCACTCAGCCATTGCCAACAATGGTAAAACAATTGTAAAACAAAGGATTGTGCACGGTCACGCTTGAAAAAAGTGAACAAAGACTTATAACAAAAGGGTTTACTAACCATTTCCCTCTATTAACTATGGACAGAGTTCATGTGGGAACGCTTTGTCAAGATTGGTTTCTTACGACCTTTGTTTCTTGTCAAGTAAGTGAACGTTAAGCATTGTCCTATAGTATTCTAACTAAAAGCTTAGTATTTTAGTATTAGTATTTTATTGCTGAGGGTCGTTGACAGGATTGTAACTTGCATCAGCCACGGAAAGGTCGAAGTTCCAAGTTACCCTGTTCATCTTTTGCTTCGATTTATTTTCCTTAATTTTGAAGAATTAAAAGATGAACCACTTATTTATTCTAGGAAGCTTTCACGGCGCCTCAACGCTAGCCGAAAAGAGAAGAAATTCTTTGGCTTGCGAAGTTGGGGACTGATAGACTTAATATGATTAATGATCACCTAATACTCTGGTATTAGATGTTTGAGGCCATTAGATCGGCATCTAGTTAAAGCATATCGATCATATTACTGGATGGAGCGTAACGCAATGGGAATGCAACAGATTGCAAAAAAATTGGACTTGGAAGAATGAAAAACTTTTCTTTCCTAAATTGAAACTAATACACCTTTTGCTGTTCATTAACCGCAAAGGAATATTCATT